TTTTGTTGTGCATGTCATATTGTTCATTTCATCTGAATGTTCACTTATCATTATGTTTGTTTGTTTGACTAAAAGATAGAGATATTTTTTATCCTAATAATTGTTAAATGCATTTAATTTTTTGTTCACATGTTGTTTGTTCTATTTATGTTCTTATATGTTTCCATTAACACCATTTTATGTGAATGATTGTTAATGAGTACTTGTTGTAAATCATGTGAATGTGCTCGATTTGATTTACTATGTTTTTATTTGACCTTTGCTTCTTTCTTTTTGATGTTGTCAAATGGGGAGAAGAGATAAAGCAAAAGCATCAATTCATCCTACAAAGATTGATCAAACGTTCAGATTGTTTTTAGAAGACTGCATAAAATTAGGGGGAGGATGATACAACTCAAAGTGCTCGATTTTGCTACTATTTTGCCATCATATAAAAGGAGAAGTATGTGAGGGAAAGTTGTCACAATACTTGTTTTAATGATGTCAAAAATTATCTAGTTAGTAATTTCTATTTTGGACGGTATCATTGAGTCGCATATGCATTCGTAGTTCTCTCGTGCATAACAATTTCTCAAAAACATGTGTCTATTCACATAGAAAAGCATTATATGTGTTTCGTATGGGTTTGATCATGTTGATAGACTTAGATATGCATTAGAATTGCTTAGATATACCAAGACATGTCAAAAAGAGCATTTTTGGAAGTTCTGAGCATTTGAGTCGACTCAAAGCCCTGCTTAGGTCGACTCATAGAGAGTGAATTTTAAGGATTTCCTCTCAGGAGTGCTCGCGTCGACCCTCTGGTCGACTCATATTGTTAGCATTTCTATTTGTCAATTCTGTAAATGTTTCCGTCGACGCATGGATCTGTTCCAATCGACGCGTAGAGTCAGTTTCTGCATAATTTTAAAAGCGGGAGTGCTCAGGTCGACCCCCCTTTTCTTTAGGTCGACCGCTCGCTCGTGTCACTCTATTTTTCTATTGTGCTTGACTTTCAAATGGCTGTTATGTTTGTTACTTGGTTCTAGATTTACATATATATTATTTTTGGCTCATTCTTTCAAAAAGAACAAGAAAAGTGAAAATTGACACTGATATTTCTCTCATCATATTCACCTTTTTTCTTGCATTTTCTCAACAAATACACATAACCATATTTGTTGATCATTCTACATCATTGAGGTGATAACATCCAAACATAGGATATTTATATCGGGTTTGCGTTAAGAGATCGGTGTATTTTTTTGAATAAAACCGTTAGGGTTTTGTCCTCCAAGAATATTGGGATTTTGGGGGGGTTTTTTCACAAATCATTTCTTCACAGATTCAGCCGAGCGAAGGTGATTGAAGAACAAGTGATTATGTCAATCTAGTAGCGGTAACCGGAGGATTGTGGAAGGAAGATTTGGGTTTGAATTGTGTGCGATTTAAATTAGTCGTGCTAAAGATTTGAAGATCGTTGGGTGATTCAAACGTGTAGCTAGAATTAGAGATTTATGCAACACATTCGAGGCACTTGATTCATCTTGAATTAAGGGGAGGGAAGACATAGTTTCAACATCAACAACTAGGCTTGAGTGTTTGATTACTATTGCTTCTCTTGTACAAATAATTTGCAACAGGTTTATATAGACTCAATTCTATTTTTAGAATTGAGGGCAGACGTACCCCGAGCGAGGACGACGGGGGAACTGCCTCAACAAATTTGGTGTTGTTCTCTCTTTTTCGCTATTTTTCCATTTTTGAATTTTAACGTTTGTGTATAATCGAATTGCTTGATTAAAATTCGGGTATAGTGTATTGCTGAAAAGTATTTGGAAAACTCATTACAATCCTTTTGATTGTAGTTGGAAAAGTTTAGCACTACCGTTACTTAGTGAATTTCACTTGGATTGCTTCGCACACCAAGTGTTCAACAAATTGCTTGAACACAAACCATTTGGGTTGTTTTTCAACTTGAGTTTATTTTTTCCAAGGCATTGGAAATTGAACAACTTCGAGTGAATAAAATTATATTAATTCGTGTTCAAACTTTTGATTCGGTTGCTCATCAGAATCGTTATTCCATCTAGGCTTATTGCATATCCGATCCTTTCGGTAACGACTCGTTTAGACGATTTTAGTTCCTCGGCCGCTTCCACTTAAAAGTTTTAAAAACCAATTTATCATCATAAGCACCGACTCTGTATAAGAATTAGTGATCTATTCAACCCCCTTTTTAGATTATTCCCGTCGTCTAACAAAAGATTCAAAGCAGAAGAAAGCAATGAATGAGGAACTAGAGTCCATCGAAGTCAATAACACTTGGTCACTTGTCGAATTTCCTCAAGGAAAGAAGGCAATCAATGTGAAATGGGTATACAAGGTGAAGTTGAATCCCAAAGGAGAAGTAACTCGATACAAGGCAAGACTTGTAGCAAAAAGATTTCTTCAGAAAGAAAGAATCGACTTCGACAAAGTTTTTGCACCCGTTGCTAGGATCAAAACAATCAGGTTGGTTATTGGTCTAGCAAACATGAACAATTGGTAGGTATGTCAAATGGATATGAAATATACATTCTTGAATGACCCCTTAGATGAAGAAGTTTATGTTGCACAACTAGCTGGGTTTGTGAAACAATGTGAAGAAAGCAAGGTATACAGGCTGCATAAAGCCTTGTATGGACTTAATCAAGCTCCAAGAGCTTGGAATAAGAAGATAGATAGTTTCATAAGGTATAAGAGATTTGTGAACTCGGTAACTGAGCATGGAGTATATGTAAGGAGAAACAATAGTAAATTTCTTATAGTATGTCTCTATGCTGATGACTTGTTGATAACAGGAAGTTGTAAGAAGAAGATCGAAAACTTCAAACATGACCTAAGTGAGGAGTTTGAAATGTCAGACTTGGGAAATCTCTCATATTTCCTTGGCGTCGAGTTCTACAAGAGTGGTAGAGGTTTGATGATACACCAAAGAAGATATGCAAGCGAAATACTTAAGAGATTTGAGATGCAAGATTGCAACCCAACTTTGACTCCAGCTGAGCCCAGATTACAACTGTCGAAATAATCAGATAAAGATGATGTTGACCTAACTCAGTATAAAAGACTTATTGGGTCATTAAGATACCTTTGTCACACAAGACGTGATCTAGCATACAATATAGGTATGGTGAGTAGATTCATGCAGAAGCCAAAGGTATCACACCTAGCAGTGACAAAGAGGATATTAAGGTGTCTGAAAGAAACTCTTGACTATGACATTTTGTTTCCTGCAGTTGATGAAGGAAAAGAATGCAAGTTAGTGGGATACACCAACTCACGTTGGTTTAGTGATGTTGAGGATAGAAAATCCACAACTCGCTATGTGTTTATGCTAGGTGGTGCACCAGTTGCTTGGAGTTTGAGAAAGGAGCCAGTAGTGACATTGTTGTCGTGCGAAGCAGGGTACATAGTTGTTTCTCTTTGTGCATATCAAGAAAAGCGGATGGTGAATCTGGTCGAAGAGATTATAGCGAAGAGTCATGAAGCAATTACTATGAAAATCGACAGCATGTCAGCTATCAATATGGCAAAAAATACGATAACACGTGGACGAAGCAAGCACATCGAAATGAGGTTCCATTATCTTTAAGATCAGGTAGCAGAAGGGAAGATGAACTTGGAACAATGCAGAATTGAGAATCAGATTGCATATATCATGATGAAAGGAGTGCAAGTCGAAGTGTTCAAGAAGCTAAGGTCTATGATGAATATAGATAGCTTAGACACAATAAATTAGGTGGTGTATTGAGATTGTAATTTCTTGTGTCGAAGCAGGTGTAGCTCGACAGAAACAAGGATGTCTCGAGATTAGCCTAGTGTAGTGTGTGTCGAGTTGTGTTAGATATCGAAGTGTTAAAGCAAGTTGCTTGACATAGGATTTCGACTTAGACCAAAATAGAAATTTTGGACATTTTTATATTTTGGGCTTTACCTTAGGGAGCAAGCTAATCAATTATAAATAGAGGGAGTAACTCATATTTTGAGTAAGAAGAATAAATAATAATATTGTAATCACTTGCAGTTGTAAAATTTAAAATTTCCATAGTTTGTGGGCAGAGAGACTCTACAAAAATCATTTTCTTCTTCCCCAATTTTTGTTAAGCCCTAATCTTCTTTCTTATTTAATTTTCGTTCTTCTTCTTCCATTAAAAATTGCTGCATAGAATCATTCTTGCAATCAAGGTGTGATTGATTCACTCGAGTGAAAAGTGAAAAACAAGGGATTTTGATCGGTTGATTGAATCTTGTTCATCAAGATTGGTTCAGAATTACTCAAAATTTTGAGTTAATTCCAACTTACCGAAAATTCTAAAATTTCCGGTAAAAACAAAGCTTTATCAACACCGAAAATTTCATAATTTCTGATACATAACCAAATTTTTATAACTATTTTCGGTATATTCTATGGGATTTTATACCGAAAACTTTGAAATTTTTGATAAATATTTTATAATTAACACTGGAGATTTAAAAATTTTTGGTACAGCAAAGTTTTTGTAATTTTCAATATAAAAATTTATTGCTTTTGAAATTTCTGATACACTCTTTTAAATTTCCGGTATCGCTTCAAAATGTTCAAATTTTTACTTGTATACTGTAAATTTAAAAAATGGATGAAATAATTTTGTAAGGACAATATCGTATTTTCATACGTTATAGGGTTGTCAGGTTGAAATAAGAGGTATGAAATTAAATTAAATGCTCGAATAACAACCCTTAGATTTTCAAGTTCTAGTTGGAAACATAGGCCTGTACCAAAATAAAAGGACCATAGGCTCTGGCCCAAACCACCGCTTAACGGGTAACGCCCGCTATTATTTTTTCGAAAACACTTGAAGTGGCGTCGTTTCATCTTTCTTAGAAAAAATACCCTAAATCTAAAGAGAAAGAAAAACCCTAACCAGTGGCTGCAGAGAAGTAAAAGAAACCAGACCTCAGAAAAACGAAAACCTAACAAAGCAGGAACTCCAAAAATGGGAGGCAAATGTCCACACAGAAAGGTGAAGAAGAGAAGATTGTCCCACAAAACCGATCGCCGTGCCAGATTCCTCATCAAAGATATCCTTTTCGTTATATTTGAATATTGTTATTTCAATGAAATCTACTATTTTTTTTTAAAAATTTGTAGTTCTTTTGGAACGTGTTTTGAATTTGAGTTCTTAACTGGAGAATTGATCACGCGATGACATGGTTTATGATGAATTGAAAAAGCCTGAGGAAGAGAGAAAAGCTTTACCTGTTGATGAAGATTTGCCTGGAATGGGCCAACACTATTGCCTTCACTGCGAGTATGTCTCTATTATTTATTTATTTATTTATTGCTGATTAGTGTTTTTGGTTGAAAGTGTGTTGAACCAAAGTGATTTCTAGGCTTAAAATCAATTATAGATGTAAAATCTCTGAAGTGTATGTTTGGTCTCATGGTTGGAGCAGTTAGAATTGATTATGGATGTGTATAATTGATTTTGACGTGTTTAGTTGCTCTCGAGTTGAATTGGTTCATGCATTTCAGAATTGGTTCTGTTTGAAGTTGAGATTTGTAGTTATTGAGTTAAAACATGATTTTTATACACTATTAAACTCACTTTTGTAATTATTTCTCCTAGTATAAGTCACTTTACCTTCAACTCAATTTTACATAATCAATTCACTCGGAATCAAATTTTTTCACGGCAAAACTAGCTTCTTAGAATCAATTCATTAGACAAAATCATATATACTAGAGAACAACAACTAAACATGTTGATCAATTTTATAATTTTGGAATCAATTTTGCCTTAACCAAACAACTTAATGACTCCATGGTGAGAGTTGAGAAGCTTACAGTTACAGATGCACTATCATGCCGAGTGTATATAGTGTACAACATTGGAGAAAAGTCATTCATTTGTTTTTAACCGTTTGTTTTCCTTTTTTGCTCTCCTTTGTTTTATTGTTCTTGTTGTTAAGATTTATGGATGACGGAGAGTTCTATTTCATCACCAACTCTTTTTTGTTTGTCTCTCTGGTTGTTTTTTTAATCTAGTATGTGCTTTTTTTTTGTATATGCAGTCGATTCTTTGCCAATGTAGCTGTGAGAGACGATCATTTCAAGACCAAAAAACACAGGAGACGGTGTGCTTTTTTTCTCCTTTTGCTTCAGTTTATATCATCTATCTATCTTATGTAACATTCTTCCTATATTTATATTGGTAAAGATTTGGCATATTTATTGTATTGCTTGAGTTTTGAGGCTATTCCTGTTTTGAAATGTTTTCTTCTGTACGAACTAATAAAGCAGCTGAACATGAACAAATCTTTCTTTTCAATAAAAATGTAATTCAGTGGAATTGACTCAATTACATAAACTAGCAGGTTTACCACTTTCTATTGCTTCTGATATTGTTAATCTTTGTGCAGTGTGAAACAAATGATGGGTGATGCACCACACACTCAACTTGATGCTGAGTTAGCTGCAGGGATGGGAATGCCAGATAATGGACCAAAGTTAATGTCTATGTAACTTTCTTCTTTGGTGGTGGTTGGGAGATTATAGTAGAAACTGGTGTTAGATTATGCTTGTTAGTGCAATATCAAGAGATAAGTGAAATTTTGCTATTAATTCTATCTTTTCAATTTCAATCTAAGATTTTTTTCTACGTAATTTTAACACATTTAGCAAGGATTCTTTGTCGAAGTATTATTTAGCCAAGATCTAAGAAGCTTATTAAGTGTGTTCCAGGTATCAAAATACCTTTATATTAACCTCTTCAAGAGATTCAACATTGCTGCTTGTTACATATTCTTGATCACGAGACAATTTGACTCTCCACGTTGGTTTCATGGCTGGGACTATCTCTAATAATCATTTTATTTGCATCATTTTTATTTATGAAAATATTCTTCTTATTTTTCATTGCATAGTTCTTTAAATGCGCCCATTTATCACGTCTTTGTTGTTAAAATCCGAACCTAGTTGAAACTTTATTCCCTCACCATTTTTTTAGGTTAGAAACTTCTCATTATCATGTTCATCAATACTCTCATTTAGGGTATTCAAGTGATCTAAATCATCAACGGGTTCATTCTCAATACCAACTGCAGTTGTTGGTTTATTATCGGTGATCTCATACTCACATTGTTTTTAATAACCTCCCCTCAAGTCTCGGGGGACATTAGTCAAATTCATATCCTCATATAATTCACTGCATTTGTCTGTTTCATCATCACTTGCAACATAATTTGTACCAACATTTTCATCAAGATGACCAAATTTACTTTCCTATACACTGTCACCTACTTTAACATCAAAAACATTATGACCTAAGCTATTTATATAAAAAAGATGTTTATCATCTATCTTAGCGTAATTTTGATGTAGACAAATCTTATCAATAAAGAAAAATCATCAAAGAAGAAAAAAATTAGAATTAGTAACAAGATTGAATAAGCTTTAAGAATCTAAGGATTGAATCATGGAGATTAAGATATTATGGCAATTTATATGTATATAATAAGCTTTAGATGCTCAGAGTCATTTCATCCAAGTCATTCTTAAAGGTTATACATCGTTTACATTCATGACATATCTTTTAAAAAGTGAAAAATCCATTTTATTCACCAAGAAATTGATTGATAAAAAGCTACAGTCAATTTTTTATATGCTACTATTTGTGAAAAGCGCTCAATTTGTCTTGAAAAATATCCCCCACAATCTATTGATGCAAAACCTACAACCTATTGAGGGGTATATTCTTGCCTTGAAAATTTTCCCCCACAATAGACTGAGGCATCCATAAAATATATTTTCATGTGTAAGTTTTACAATTTTTTAAGGTAAAACTTGCTACAATCGATTGATATGCTATAACAATCATTGTGATCTGCATCTTTTTGAAAAATCTAAAATATTGCAACATCTCTTCATTGCATATGTTCGTGAGACCTTTTCACAAATCATTATAATTAATTATGAACATTTTTAAGGTGTTGTTATTCATTCCATAAGCATTTTGAGATATATTTAAAGCAAGTTTTTCAAATTTTTCATTCACCTCTTTCATCATTTTTTTTTAAAACAATTCTTACTGTTTTTCAAGTGTTCATATAAAATGTCATAGAAACTTTTACTGTATAAATTTCGTTTTATTTGAGAAAAGTTTCATAAACCTTGAGCACTTAATGTTTACATATTCTTGAATTGCTCATTGAAAGAGAAGATTAAATTTTTGAAATATTGACAAGCATACAAACTGTTTGTTTTTAATTTATGTCTGTTGTATTTGTTCACCAAGTGTGTGGTGACATTGTCTATGAGAAAAGTGGTTTTACTTTTTATAGGTGTTTACAAATAATTTTTTTCTTTTAGTTTGTTGAAAAATGGTCTTTTGAATTGGGGTGATTCAAAATCCACCGAAGAGTTAATTTGTTGTGTTAGAAGATAACAGGATAGTCTTTCTGTAAGGCTGTACACAAATCTAACATAGTAGAATCTTTCACAGAGTACGAAGGAACTAGATGTATCCTTAATTAATAAGAGGAACCACTTAACAATGGAGATTACAACATTCATAGTAAATAGCATAATTAATAGGGACCACTGTAAGCGGAAATATTCATGGATATTATGAGATTAAAACATCAATACTTACATGTTGAAGTCATGATTCAGAATTCTGAATGGATGAATGACCGGATCTTCCTCTGTATCTCACACTCCCGTTCACAACTTTCAATGTGGCAAGTTATAGAGCCGTCATTTATGTTTCTGATTCTTTTTTTGTGATTACAGAGGGGACCTAGCCATATAATATATATAACCTTAGTCCCTACCCATTATGGGCCCAAGGTTAAAGCCCACACTTTTACCCACACCAACCAGGTTTTAGATACTCAGCCATTAGTTAAAAATTGATCACTTAATTAATTAAAGGGCTTATATATGCACCCCCATCAGAATCACGATTAACCCGTTTTTTACAAATTAAACCATAATTGATTGTAGCCCATAAAATATTAGATAAATTTAACATTCTCCCACTTGGGCAAAATCAATTGTATGATTTTTATTTTAAAATACATTTTGAAAACGACTCTCGGGTTAATGACTAATTCCTTAAAATGCGGCCGCATTTTAAGGAAATCCATGATTCCAGGTGCAGTATCTGAATATGACTCCATCCAACAAAAGTTAAGCAGTATTGAATCACGACGATTATTATGTCCTTCATTGACATAAAACCTTTCGTGGTTACAAATACTACATACTCCGTCAACTAGTCATCAGTGTGGAGTGTGGCAAGAAAATAACATGCTAATGTGATCCAACAACCATTTGCTATTTTCTTCGTCAGTCCTTAACAATTTCTCTCAAATGCATTAAACACAAAGAAATTGTATGGTTTTACAAACCATAATGCCTCAGCTCCAACATGGCGTCGATCACCGGCACAGTGGTCCTGACAACGCCGAGCTTAAAATCATACTTCAGCTCCAATATGGCATCAACCACCGGTATAGTGGTCCCGAAGACACCGAGCTCAAAATAATAACCATGCCTTGAACTCCAAACTAGTGTCGACCATAGGCACAATGGTTTCGATGACACTGAGTCCCAAATTTAGCAATTTAAATGTAAATAAACAATGACAAATGATAATAATAATAATAATCATTGTAATATCAATTGCTTAAAATAGAAAATACTCGACAATCCAACATTTAAAGTGTCTAAAATAAAATATAACATGATAAAAGAAAATGACATAAAGAATAAACTCCCACTAACCAAGTACATCAAAAGAACTCACAATGCCCATGTTCTCTTCATAGCACACAAGCTAAGTCGATCACTCCTCTCCCACTTAGCTAATTTTTCTTTCTCTTCGGGTGTACTCTGATCATTGATCACAGGTTTGGTTTCACGCAATGTCATGTCAAGGTCAGCAATCCCTAACGAAAACTCTAAGTCTTTCTTCCATTTTTTAAAATTAGACCCATTCAGGATCTCAATAGAAGCAGAACAATTGTTCATAGAGAAGGTCATAAACAAAATAGGAATGCATTAGAACAAATAATAAAGGCAAGATATAGCTTTAATGAACATAAGCTATCACTAAGAGGCCAACATTATTACACAATCCCCTTTGGGTGGAATGCGTACAACCCAGGTTAGAACCAATGTCAGAACCTTAGATGAGTCGCTCAATGAGCATAAATTGGATTCGAAAATCTATCTCCTTTGGGTAGATAAATTCTCTAAACCAAAACACCTCCAACAACTTTATCTACAAATTTCAAGAATAAGCTACTCAATGAGCATACATTGAGTTTAGAAATTTATTTCCTTTGGGTAAATAAATCCCTTAGACCAAAGCATCTCCAATAGTTATATCCTTAATCAACCACAATCTTTACATACAATTGTCCACCTTTGAGAAGACAATCATAGTAATGACTTAAAACTATTCCTCAAACTACAAAGAGACTTTTACAAATTAAAACGAGCGATCTCACTTTGGTGATAATCACACACAATAATTTATAGAATTTCTTGCATAGGAATTAAAGAAAAATTCTTGCCAAAATAAATCATGAACCAATCATGAATTTAAACCATATAACATTCCTAATAAATTTTGTCTTCAACAGTATCAATCTCAATATTATAGAGATATTATATAATATTTCAAAATACTTGACAAAACAAATATATTACAAATTTATATAAACTAACATTTATTTAATAAAATGTCCAAGACAATACAATAAAAATTTAGAAATATATAGTACATATTGTCTTGAAAATAATTAATCTAGTTAATTATATATAATTCAATTAGTAATATATAATTTTATATGATACTGTATTGGCGTGAAAAAATTGAACAAAAGAATTTAGAAGTGGCTATTAGCTTGGAAAGGGAAAACAAATTAAGCATAAATACCGGAATTGTTCTATTAATTTGCAAAAGAAACACCAGATAAACAAAATTACCGGCACTATTGACGGCATTCAAGTATTTTGCATTTCAGTAACCAAAGAATCATATATATTGTTTTAATTGATCCAAAATAAAGGGCAATTGAAAAATAATGTACTATCATAACACTATTACTTTCACCATATGAATTTTGTAGAAGTATGCAACAATTCCAATTAAAATAAATACATAAAAGATTTTCGATTCCATATATACTTCATAGATTTAGTAATCACAAAATATCAATTCCAATTTTCATATTATTTATGGAGCAGTTCCGCAATGGTAAAATTTATTGCGACAATAAAAAAAATAATACCATCAATTTGTATTCACAAAAATAATAATAAATAATTGAGTCCTAACTCATATAATCTAGGCTCTAATACCAAATGTAAGCGGAAATATTCATGGATATTATATGAGATTAAAACATCAATACTTACTTGTTGAAGTCATGATTCAGAATTCCGAATGGATGAATGACCGGATCTTCCTCTGTATCTCACACTCCCGTTCACGACTTTCAATGGGGCAAGTT